TAGTTAATTATGTTGACTGGTCTGTGTTTGTTGTTTCACCTGGTGGGAAGCGGCCCGTATGATGTTACAAAAGAATAGCACACTGTACTGTGCTGTGCTGTTATTTAACTATGGCACAACAAGAGTATTCCCCTTTTCCTCCGTTCAAAACTAAAAACAATATTGTTAAAACCAAAAACATATTTCACTTTTTGTCCGACATAAATGTGATACATTTAAAATATTCTTATAATTTTGGATATTGGATATATCTAATGTCCATTTGGATTGTTATTCAACCCAAATTCCATGTAATTAGAGCATGTCCAATCTTGACTTAAATGTAGGCTCAAATTTAAATTTTAGTCAAAAATGGCTCAATATAACTTCTAAAACTTTAGACTCAAACCTATATCAAATTGAGACAAAATTTATTCTTGACCCAAATTGAAGCAGACTCAAATTCTATACCAAATTTTTAACGGTAACTTTTTAACCTATCCAAAACTGAAAGACTAGTCAATAACTTGTTCTCTGTCTCTTCTTGCCTCTCTCTACTGCGTTGCTTCAATCGCCGACCACCACCGAATATTTCATAAATCATTTGAAGACCTGCAGGTAAGTTTTTTCCTTTTCATCTTCCATTTTTTATATTTTTCAAAACCCTAATCTCACCCACATTTTATTCTATATAAACCTTAAGCATACCCATCAAATTTTTCTTTGATTTTTTTGAGTTATACACTATCGATAGTACAATTTTAGACTATCGATACTTCTTGAAATTCTAAGCCTTTGCAAACCCACAAATTTAGAAATTGTCATTTTATTTCTTCAACCTTCTATTTTTGTTAAAAACGTATATTTTTGTGTTCTTTAGACCAGATCCATATTAAAATAGTTATATATTTTTTCTTTTTCTTCTTATTTATATGGATTTATAAAAAATGATAAGGGATTTGAACAATCTTAAAATTCTGGGATGGTTTCTTTATTCCCATGTAGTGTTATGTACATATTCATTTTTTTTAATTACTCATATGTGGAGAAATATGAAAGTTTCATTTATTTTATCAAATATCATGATTTGAATGACACAAAAAAATGAGTTTTGGGACAATAAGAGAATTTTCTAAAAGATTTGAGTAGATATTTGAATTTACCCATTAGAATACTCTATACCAAATCAAGCTTTTTACTCAAATTTAAACTCAAATTTGAGTCAAAATTTGAGTCATGGTTGAAAATGTTCTTACATACAACCACATGATGAAATAAAGTGATTATTTGGTAAAATTGAGTCAAAATGAAGATGTAGCAAACACTTGGTTCTAAAGTTATTCGGTTCTAGTCAAATTTTTATTTTTAATGGATTCAAATATGAATTTTGAAAATATAACATAAAAAATTTATACGTGTCACATTTTATTAGACAAAAAAGTGAAAAATATGGTATCATATTTTGTCATACTTTGGCTTTTTTGATAAAATATGAAAATTTAAATACGAACAATTTAAGTATTATACAAAAAAATAATTTTTTTGTTCTAGAACTAAAAGATTTCAAATAAATTGTTGATACCATAATTAAACCCAAAATTTAATGATATTTTTTTACGGTGTAAAGTTTTTACTTGAAAAACTTTGGTTTTGAACAACAGATGGGGGAATACCCTTGTGCTATAGTTCACAAAACATGTAATAGCACACTATACTGTTTTTTTGTAACAGTAGAGGAGCCGCTTCCCACTTGGAGAGGCAAGACAACAAATAAGAAAAAAAAGCTTTGTCTTCAACTAACTTATGGATATTGAATTAAACATTGAAAGTGACTATAATGATAAAAAAATAACCAAAAAATAAAAAATGTTATTGGGTTTTTGATTGCAAATTGTGTAACATTTTGTGCTTTAGATTGAACTCTTATTTCATGTAGGACAAAACCATCATATAGACTAGGGTTAACAATGGGTGCATTGGTCCATCCCAGTCCTCCGTTACTCGGGTTGACTCCTTGCAGTTCGCTTTAACACTAACAGTAGATAGGAACTCAACTGTCTCCTAACGTTCTAAACACTAATTTCCATGTTGTATGGAATCTTGAAGTAGTTCACATATATCTCATTGAATTTAGGTTGATGCCATAAATTTGTAACTTAAATTTTACTAATTGTTCTCAAAGTTGTGGTCAGCCAACACTGAATTGGAAACATAAGTAAAACATTTGAAATATAGATTGTTGTCCTACATGTAACATGGAATATATATGCTTGGAATTATGTGGTAACATGAATTTGGTTCATTTGCAATGTCGAAAGATATATCATGAAAAAATGTTTTCATTTGAACCAAATTTCCAATTGGCCCTCTGAGTATCTAAGTATAAGACAGAATTTAAAGGAGCCACAGGTCATACCAATCAAAAGGTGGGTACTTTAACAAATATCAACCAACAAAGAAAAATATCATGGTGATTACATGTGCATTGCACTTCAAAATACTATAGAATAGTTTTGTTTTAATCTATATAACAACGTTCATTCTGTTAAGATTGTCTACAACTTTGGACTCAAGGCTAAAAGCTCTTAAGTGTCCTCCACACCACATTTGAGAGTTCCACCGACTTGTATCTGACCTGAGAGCTTACAATCTGATACCGTTCATATTTTGCATAAATCACAAGTCTCACGCAACTTGGCGACTTATGACATCTTTGAGTTAATCCACGGTCATCTCTATCATCATCATCGACTTGGCTGACACCATTCCAGGATAATTCAATATGATATGAATCCCTCGTATTCGACTTCTTCTATATATCATTTTGTGCGTATCTCCTGATATTGTTTGACCACTCGCAACCGATGCACCTCAGTATCCTCTGATTCAATGATTGATATCGTGACCTTGAACCATGGTGCTACTACTCTTAATTTTGCGGTCTTAAAGTTCTATTGTGAATTAGTAGTTAATAAAAAATTGTTCATTGGTTCATTGTGGCCCATTATGTTTTAATGAAAAACACGGCACTAAGCAACGCTCACATCCCTTCGATAATTGGCCTAGCCATGGTGATTGATGGGGGAAGCTTGCTTTGGTAAAAGCATGAACTGCAACTGGTTCCTTGTAAATGGATGTTTATGTTATTTAGACCATGGTTTGCTATGTACTTTCTTTCTTCTTCTTCTTCTTCTTCTTCTTCTTCTTATCTCTCTCTCTCTCTCTCTCTCTCTCTCTCTCTCTCTCACACACACACACACACACACAAACAAATTCAATTGGTTATTAGATGATGACATGAATTCCAATGTTTGATTGATGGTGACCGTGAATTGTTGCAAGGGTGAGACATTTTATGGTTCACTAGGAGTGTGAATTGAAAAACAATGATATTCAAATTAAAATTTTTGGTATACATCACAATTGATGCTCATTATGGGGAACCCATCTAGCATTGCACCACATTTGAATTTTGAGTTATGCTTGTTATTATAGCTTCATAGGTGATATCCTTTAGTCTTGGAATGTTTTAGTTAAGCAGATTTGACAAGAATATGTTCAACATTAGGACTCAGTTCCACATTCAGGGATGTGTGGGAAGCATGGTGTACCTCCTCATTTTTTCCAGGCAGTTTACAGTTTTGATCAGGGTCCAGGTTATGATACCGGTCATCAACCGTTAGTAGTCTTTTGTGATGGACAACTTTCAAAGACTAGCTACGACGATGGAACTAAAATGCAAAAGCATCTCAATCTTAAAACTGATCCATGGAAAGTTATGCTGTGTTACAGTTGTACTTAAATGAAGAACAATGGTGGAGTTAATCTTTCAACTAAACTCAACCATCTCTTCTTACTCCCATATCTCTCTCTCTGTCACCTTCCTATTTCACTCATTTATAATCACATAGACGAGCAGCTGTGTGCAGGACCCACTAGTCTAGCATTATGGGAAAGCAAAAAGTTAAACTAAAATTTGGATTTGGTGTAGCTTTGCTTCTTTATTGGCGGGATGGATTGCACCTCTTGTTATAATGTGAATTTAAATAGTACATCTATGAATTTATGCAGCTTGCTTTATGTATTAATTGCAGTTTCAACTCAAATTCTATTTTGTTAGACATATTTACTCTGAATACTTTAATAGTTTCACAATTTATTTATTTTTTTTTTTTGGGGGGGGGGGTGTGTTCTTCTATATAATTTGTGTGAGCTCCATAACTAGTTTGAGGAAGAATGCATTCCAGTTTTATTTTCAAACTCATACTTTTGCATAAACTTGTAGTTATGCACTGCTACCTTATTACTGTAATTCTCAAAGGAATGGTTTGATAAGTATCTGTGTCATGTTTGTTTATTTACTCAACAATCAACATTAATAGATCTTGTAGTAGACACACAATTATTATTGTAGACCTTACAATCCTTGTCTTCTTGAAATTATTTTAGGGAAGATCCCAAAACTTGGATAAAAGTTTTAAACATGTCTGGAACATTTTTTGGTTCTTTTTAGTGTACCACACCCTCTTGCGGGGAAAAAATTAAAAAGTTTAAAAAAACTAGTTTTCTTGAATGTGAATCACATTGCTCGAGTCTTGTAACATTTTTTTTTTTTTTCTGTATGATAGTTGCCTATTCTACCTTGTTTCTTTCCCTTTAAGAGATTGGATGAAATGAGTAAAGGGAAGAGATATTCTGCCCAGGATAAGATGCTGATTGCATGTCTCAAAGAATCACTTCAACAATGATTTTCAATGACATGTGTCTTACGAGCTTATAGCATGATCACTTGATGCACACATACCTTTGGAACTGTACACAGACTGAAACAAATAGGAAAATATATTTCATATTTCTTAAAGAAACTTCCATTCAAGATCAGAACATGTATATCCTTCTGTATTAGAATTTACAAGCTTTGACTCAAAAAGATTTCAAATGACCTATCGTGAACAAATGAAATCGTACGTAGTATGCGTCAAGTCAAAACTAGTATCGAAAACTACCGGTGATCCTCTGTTTTAGGATCCAAAAGCTCTATTTGTCGGCAGGTTGAGAAGTGTTTTGCTAGAAACAGGAATGCACTTGACAAGCCAACCAATTGGCCATGACAATGCAGCTATTCCAATGCATATAACCCATTGCACCCAGTTCAACCTTTCAGTGTCAGCAAACTTCTTCAGAAACTCCACCATAACCACTTGGAAAACTATTGTCATCCCAACAATCCCTAGAAACAGTCTGTTCTTCAGTATCCCCTTGAATATGTTCTTACTCTCCAGCTTCCTTGCATTAAACTCGTTAAAAACTTGGCACAGGACAAAACTATTGAAAATGAGGGTGTCCTTGACCTTATTGTCCACACCAAAGATAGTGCTTCCCTGAAACTGTAGGATCAATAAGACTGTTACCTGATACAAGGCCTGAGCAATGAGGTTCCTCCACATGACTTTGGTAATAAGCGGTTCGGTTCGACCCACAGGTTTCTTTGTCATGAGATCATTAGTGGGTTGCTCGGTGGCTAAGGCTAAGGCCCCTAGGGTATCCATGATGAGGTTCACCCAGAGCAGCTGGACCGCTGTTAGTGGGACTTCACCAGATGATAGTGCAGCAACAAAGTTGATGACTAAGGCAGCAACATTGACAGTGAGTTGAAATTGGATGAACTTTTGTATATTGTTGTACACACACCTACCCCACTTCAAAACTGTTACCACAGATGTGAAATTGTCGTCCAAGATAACAATATCTGAGCTCTCTTTTGCTACTTCTGTTCCCTGGATCCCCATAGAAAGCCCGATATCTGCTTCTTTGAGTGCAGGTGCATCGTTGGTTCCATCTCCGGTTACCGCTACAACGTGGCCTTTTTGCTTCAAACATTGGACCATGAGCAGCTTGTCAAATGGGGAGGATCTTGCCATTATGCGAATTCTTTCAATGTTTTGCATTCTTTCTTCTTGTGAGTAATTTCTGAATGTTACACCTTCGACTATTGCATTGTTCAAATCCTCATCAGGTTTGATAATCCCACATTCATTGGCTATAGATTTTGCAGTGAACACATTGTCTCCAGTGATCATTTTGATGTGAACTCCAGCGTCTCTGCAGGACTGAACTGCTGCCCTTACACCTGGTCGGCATGGATCCTTCAACCCCAACAACCCTAACAAGGTCAATCCGGTTTCTTCGAGCTTTTCAGTATCCTGTTGGTTTTCTATTGCAAACTGTTTGCAGGCAAGAGCGATACATCGCAAGCTTTTAGCAGCCATATCTTTAATTACTGTTTCAAACTGCACTCTTTCTTCGTCATCCATGGTTAGTTTCATACCATTTCTGACATAATAATTAGAACACATGGCTAGTATCATCTCAGCAGCACCCTTCCAATGTGTATGAACTGTGTTGTGACATATTTCCTTCACCAAAACCCCACTTCTTTTCTTCTCTGAATTGAAAGTTTCAACATGGAGAATCTCATGACCTTGCTTCAGTTCATCAAAATCCACACCCAACTCAAGCACAGCCCAGGAGAGGATGGCTGACTCAGTTGGGCTACCAGAAATTTGTGGCATTGAAGCAGAGATTGGTCTATAGACTTCACCAGTTGTATTTAGACCAACACCTTCTTGTAGCAATTCGAGAACATTCGGGGCTATCTCTGAAGTTGTCTTATCCTTCATTTCCTCTTTTCCTAGGAAAAATTCAATGACATTCATTTGGTTTAATGTGAGTGTGCCTGTTTTGTCTGTGCAGATGGTAGTTACCGAACCCATTGTCTCACAAGCTGAGAGTTTCCGAACCATGGCATGATCAGCCATCATTCTCTTCATTGAGTAAGCGAGAGTGAGAGTAACAGCCAGTGGGAGACCCTCTGGAATTGCTACCACGACTATTGTTACTGCTGCTGCAACGATACGAACAATCGAATCCATTATATCATTGGCTTTGGTCTTGCTGCGATTGAATTCCCGGTGCCCACTTTCATCTTCTGTGTTTCCCGTGAAGTAGCGGATCAACAAAATCACTAGAACAAGCAAAGCCACCAACAAACCAACCTTCCCGATATAAGAAGTGAGCTTGTTAAGCCCAACTTGTAAAGGTGTCTGCTCATCCAGTTCTCGAGTTATCGAGCTCATCATCTGGCCCCATGCGGAGTTCATGCCTACTGAAGTGACAAGCATGCGGCCATAGCCATCCATCACCATTGTACCAGAGAGCAGGAATGGATTCATGTTACAAATCTCAACATGGTCACTTTCACCTGTCATACTAGATTCATCTACCTTGAAGGAGTGACCATCCAAGAACAACCCGTCCGTCGGAATCTGATCGCCGATCTTTAAATAAACAATGTCCCCAACAAGAAGTTCGAAGATTGAGATGGGTTGGCGCCGCCCTTGTCTCACTACTTCCACTTTTATGTCGCCGCTCTCTTTTGAAAGCTTCTCAAACTGTATGTTTTGCTTGAAGTTGCTAATGGCAGAGACTGCAACGACTAGAACAACAGCAACAATTATACTTCCACCATTATACCACCCTTCTTTTGGCCCATCCTGCTTAATTCCAAACCCTAGAGACAATACTGCACACACCAGAAGTATGATTATGGTGGTGTCTTTGAGACCTTCGATCACGAAACTGAGGAAACCTTTTGCAGGCAGCTTCTGGTACGTGTTCGACCCGAAAACATCGATTCTGTTCTGAATGTCATTCATGTTGCCACTGATACCAGCTTTTTCGTGAGTTTCAAGAATTGCAGCAATTTCTTTCACCCCTCCATATTGAAGGAGGCCATCAAAGTTTTTGTCTCTCACCAGGTCAGAAAGTGGCTTTGGGTCGATATCCCGGAAGGTGAAGTGATCGTCGTTGGGTTGAACATCAATGGCAACGTAAGATGGGCTGCGTAGAACCCTGGAAAGGGTTTGGGATTTCTTGGAGAGAAAAACAACAAAATATATGGCTCGGAACACCATCTGTAGTCGTTTGTGGGGTTTTCCTAGTGAGAAATCTTTGTGGATGAACATGGTTTTGTCACCGTTTCTAGGAGACTCTGGAGGCATTAAAAAATTGAAGAACAAGTAGGAAAGGATGCGTAGAGACTGGTGTGTTACCGTGTCAATACGAATGAGCCAACAAGAGGGTATTGATTCGTAACAGAAGAGCAAGATGGTTTGTTTCTTTTATAGGAAATATTGAATGCGTGCAATTTCTTCGTAATTTCACTGTAACTTCGTCACTTGTTCCTCAATGATAGTCTTCGCGGAAAAGGGCAGTTCTGTTATTGCTTTAATTGTTTCTTAAAATATTATTAAACTAGTTATTCGTGTTTATCATTAACCTAACTTATTTATCATTTGTATTCGTTGATTGTAATATATTTGGGTTCCTCTTTGTCCTATTAATTTGCAAAATTGATACTCATACGATATTTTCTATGTTGAAACTGTGCATGACGTGTTAATTGATTATACATTTCCTTTCTTCCAAATATATATATACAAGCAACGATCTCGTGTAATGCAAAAATATGTATCTGCTCACCTTCCACTATCTTCTCCTATCTTCCACTCCACCAGTTAATGTGTAGGGCAATACTTTGCATCCCAAATGAGTAAGACCTTTAGATGAGTGGATCTTTTTGAAAAAAGTTAAAGAGATTCACTGATTCAAGGGCTTAATATTGGTTTGGGATACAATCTGGAACCCCAAATTTTGGATCTCTTAGCATTGCTCGGAGGAGTAAAAAACTTAAACATAATTATAAAAACTTGAGATGATATAAATTAATTTTTTAAAAATATTTAAATGAGGAATTATTAGTTAGTAGAGGGGTGGTTATGACACATGATGAAATGTAACTAGATTGAATGCATTAAAATAACTTAAAATTCTAAGAGTGGAGATAATAGGGAGGGAAGGTTTTCCAAGGTATCTCACACTAATATAATATAGAAATATATATTGATATAGATGGTCATAACCCTTACCTGAAGGCACAATATAACATTAAATTCAAGTATCTAAAAAATTGATACCACTATATCCACTAACATTGTTTCTTTCATTCCTTTTTTTAATTTTATAATTTAAAATTAATTTTTACCAATTATTTATTTTTTTTATAAAGAAAATTGATAAAATTTTATCAAAACACATGACCTCAAAAAAATATATATATCAATATGTGTCAACTATTGTATATGAAAAATGTTTGCAATAAAATTTGTAATGAGCAACAAATTATTTTTTATAAAAAATTGACAATTTTTTTAAAAAAATACATGACCTTAAGAAATATATATCAATATGTGTACACTATCGTATATGAATAATGTTTGAAATAAAAATTATATTGAGCTACATTATTTATAAAAAAAAATATTTGACAAAATATTTCTCAAAATACATGACCTCAAATAATATATATCAACATGTGTACATTATCGTATATAAACAATATTTGAAATAAAAATTGTATGGAACCACAAATTGATAAAAAAAAAAAAAATTAAATAATTTAAAGTTGTGATAGAAATAGGTGATATGATAGAAGTGGATGAAAAAAATATATGGAGATAAGATGGATAGATTCCATCATTTTTTAAATTTATTTTTTATCTTTCACCTTTTTAGTTAAGAAGGTAAATAAAAAAAATTAAACTAAATTATTGAATAGTAAAAATAATTTTATACAAATAAATTTGAAACAATAATAGGGAGTTAAGGGGTGGTTACACAATGAAGATGATATAATTAATTGGAGGAATGCTTAGTATGGTAATTAAAAAAAATCAAAATTCTAAAAAATTAGGAACTGTGGAGAGCAAGTTTTCTCCGTTCTAATTTGCATGTATATATATAATTTGCTTGTATATATATAAATATATATTTATTTCTCTGTGTGTGTGTGTGTCAGTGTGTGTGTGCCCCTACACAATGTGTCATATTCCTATACCAATGAATTTTTTTTTCTTTTCCATACTTTCTAAAGTCTCTTAACATTGATGAGTTTGAATTGAAATAGTTGGCTCCCAACATAAGCTTTGCGTAATTATGGATATTATTGATTGCAGCTATCGACCTTTACTTTACAAATGTGAGTCTAGTGTGACATTTCCTTAGAAAGGTTGACTGACCAAAAAAAAAAACTCACACACACACGCCCACAGTTGCTAAAACAATAATATTCCTCTTACCATCTATTTGCATCAAAATTTCTTTACTAACTTAAATTGCACAATCACAACCACTGGGTGATTAATTGAATCTAATGGGACACATTAATTCAAAGGTTTATATAGAATTAGTAAGAAAAGGTTGGTTATTTTTATAATTCCAGTGTACTTTATCCAATTCATTAAAATATGATAAAAATATTTCATATATTTAAGTGTTCAATTGACCTGAGGGTGTTGATTTAATGTAAACATAGAAAAAGACTAACGATTTTCTTACAAGAAAGTTACAAGTATTACTTTTGACGGGTTTTTTTGCATTTTGCACTTTGAAAGATTTTAAATTTTTTATTTTATAATTTTAAAGATTAAATTTTTATAAATTGTACCTTAAATGTATCAAAAGTGTTACAATGTGTCATTCTATTAGCTTCTATTATTTTTTCCGTCAAAGACACGTTCATTGACACTGACGAAAAAACTAACAAAAAATTAATAGAAGAATCACATTATAAAAATTTTGATACATTGAGAGTATAATATGAAAAATTTAATTTATGAAGGTACAAAATAAAAATCTTAATATCTTTGAAGGTATAAAATGTAATTGACCCTATTTTCAATGTCTTCCTTTTTTTTTCCATCTGTTAACTCATTGGCCACACCAGGACATGGGGGATATGATGTTTGCAGGCAATCGTCACCCATTTGTTTATAAAAATTACGAAAAGTTTGGTGTAAATATAATTTTTATTTATTTTTCTCGATCGAAGACAAGTATATAATTAGTTTTCACTTACAAATTGAGGGTCTCAGTTTAATTTGTGATAACTAATATATAATTGAGTAAAATTAAGAAAAGATGTACTAGACAAAATTTTACTTTGATTTAGGTGAACTCTAAAAGTTAAAGGACATATTACGTTCAAGTATAAGGGACGAGATTGGTCTAAATTAGTTCACTGGTAACCTATGCTATGTTTGGATCATATTATAGGGTTGGGTCCCGTAAAATTGGCTATGTCTGTTGTTACCATAACCCCAAATACTTGATATGATCCAATCCCTGTGATAGGTGGCAGAAAAACTAAGTTACTTAGTCATGAGTTTTAAGATTTAATATATATGGAGGGGATTGATGAAAATTCTGAAGACTTTTCTCCTATAGGTGTTATTGTTACAGATGTGCAGTAGTTTCTTCGTTTGTTTATTTTTTCTTCTTTGTTTATTGTTAGAAGGTTAGAAAATTGTGTAGCTCACCAACTAGTTCAAAAGGGCTAGATTAGGTGAAAATATTAATGTTTGGGAAGAGATGACACCAGATTTTCTGATATCATCTCTTCTCTCAGACTCAACTTCTTAATAAAATTTAAACATATTTAATTATCCTTATAATATTAATATGTTCGTGTGATATCGATTATGATATTAGGACGTAACCATTGTAACATTATCTATAATTGTGAGTTCTACAATTTAATAAAGTCTAATATCCGTCAAATGACCATAGTCAATGGTCCTCACCAATTAAATCTCAAATTAGGTGTAACATGTGTCACAAAATCTGTGTGAAAAGGTCTATGCTTTGTCACTCTATGGGCGAATTCGCCACAAATTCACACTCTTGTGAATTCATTGAATTTGCAGATTTAAGTTTGCCAATTTCTTAATTTCACTAAAAAAATTTGTGAATTCAATTAATACATTTGATGAATTAAAACAAACAAAAGAAACATATTCAGATTATTAAATCTGAATCAAAAAGATTATTTAATCAGTAAATTTTAAAAAATAAATTCTCTAATTAGATACAAGATACCATTTTTACCCCAAATTAATGACCCTAGTAACTCCCTAAAAGTAATGTCTTATTAATTAAGTAATCTAATTTTTTAAAAGTCATGATTTTGAAGTCAAATAATAAAGTCAATCATATTTATTGATAAACATTTTGCAAAATTAAATACCCTTTCAAATGACTTGAAAATTAAAATGAATCATACCATATTGAATCCCATTTATAATAGAGTAGCATGCTGGTCGCGGTTTCTTTGGATTGATGATGTCATTATGTGTGTGAATCAGGTCACCAACTATTTTTACTTACAATTTCTTTTGATGAATATTATTGCGTTAATAATCGTGTTTAATATAAAAAAAAAATGCTCTACTACTTTGTAAAATTTTGATTGCAAAGTAGAGAGAGAATGGAGAGAAATTAGAGAACTCCTACGATGACTACGCCAATTTGCATACACCATAAAAGAGAAAAAAATATAGGAAATCCTTACAATAATGAAAAAAGCACTACTCATCTACCTCTAATATAAGAATACTCTATAGATAATCCTTCTGCTCTAAGAGGGGATTATTTAATGTCATACCATTTTATACCCCTAGTTAATAGTTACTTTGTTTTATGCTTGAAAGAAGGGATTGATACGCAATGAAGAACATGATAAGAGATTTTGAAGGTGGTCTTTTGAACGCTTGCAATTTCACTGTAACTTTGCACCTTGATTTCTTCCAATGCTCAATCGACTTCTCCAAAATTCTAGCGATATTGGCAAGTTATTAACGAACAAAAATCTTTTTTGTTGCACGGTGACATCTGCTCAGCTCATGAATATAGTCGACGCAAATCTAAATATTTATACCAACAAAAAAAGAAAACAAAAAAAGATACATAAATCTTCTTTATTGCACTTTTACTTCAGGAAAAAATATTCCTTATCCTGCCACTGTACATCAAACTAATGGATGTATCCCACCTTATCTTTAATCAAGTTATTCATGAAATTCACAAGCACTACTAGTCAATGTTCACTATTTTCCACAAACTCAAAATGTTCGCTGTTTTCCACAAACTCAATTGAACCCGTTAT